CTTTTTTTTTAAGGTTAAATTCATCTTCTGTTTTAATTCTTTTTACTTTATAATTTTTACTTAATATTTATTAATATATTTTTAATATTTATAATTAATATTTATATTATATTTTCTTTTTATATTTTATATGTTATTTATATATTACAATATTAAACTTTCTCTGTTGCAACATATGAAGGAATTTAATTTTCTAATATATAAATAATGAATAAATATACAAAAACAAGAAGAGAATATAATATAGAAATTAATTGTTATAAAACCAAAAAGAATTGTAACATAGAAGAAGAAATTAATTAATTAAAGTTAACAAACTCTAAAGGAACTAAAACATAATAATTAAATAAAATTAACAAAGCTGCAACATATAAAAATAGAATTTAATATTCTAAATTTTGCTTTGTTTTGTTTAAATGTTTTTGTTATATTACCTAGATTTAGATAATATTTCTGTTATATATTTTTTTTATGTTTTAGTTCTTTTAGATTTTCTTCATTTTAAGATTAAATTCTTCTGCTATATTTCTATTTTTACTTTATCATAATTAATATTTATATTACACTTTCTTTTTATTCATTATTTATATTTATTTATATTTATACTTTATTCATTATTTATATATTAAAATGTTAAATTCTTCTCTTATATGTTGCAACATATGAAAGAATTTAATTTTATGATATATAAATAATGAATAAATACACAAACACAAGAAAGAAATATTCTATAGAAGTTATATAGAATGTTATATAGAATTATTATAAAACAAAAAGAATTAAATAATAATATAGAATTAAAATAATATAGAAGAATAAATTAATCTTAAAGTTAAAAAAGTAAAGTAGTTCTAAAAGAACTAAAATATAGAAACACTGATTCTACTTTGCATGAAAACGAATATTTATAATAAAAAAATAAAAATAATAAACTATTAACGTGTCCATTTATATTTTGTAATTGGCGAACAAACATTGATTCTAATTTTGCAATAATTATTTTAATTAAATTTATTTAAAATTATTATACTCTAAAAAAATGAGAAACACTATTTGACAAACACTGATTCTATTGATCACATTGCACGCGATTATAATAAACTGAAAATAAAATTACATTTATAGAGCGATAAAGAATAGAAAAAAAAATAAAATATATTTCATATTTTTTTTCTATTTTCTAACCTATATAACCAATTGTTTAGAAAATATTGCTATTCTTTAAAAATTATAAGAGAAATTCGTATTCACAATTAAAACATATTACGTATACTGTTATGAATATGTTTATGAATATTAAGAAATGCTTGCAATAAATCAAAATTTTTTAAATAAACATGTTTATTTAAGAAAATCCCTTTTTTTGTATCACGTATAATGTGATTATGTAAACGATTAAATGAAATTATTTGTTTAATTTGTTTCAAAAAATAATCAAATATTCAATATAGAACTATAATTTATTTAATCGTTCCTATTTTTATCGTTTTTTATAATATTAAAATGAATTCTACATTACCAAATCTCCATGAAAAAATATCAAATTACTACGTGATCATTATGCCTCGCATTTTCGTTATTTCTATCCCATATCTCATTTTAAATCCCATAATCTATAAAAGAAAACCAATAATTTGAAATAAATAGAATTTGTAATGTACAGAATGCAAAGAAGTATTAACAATAATTGAATTCAAATTCTATCTTAAAAGATGATGGGAATTGTATAATTGGCAATTTCACGAAAGTTAAACGAAGGAAAAAGCAAAAAAAAAAACTTAAAGAAATACTTAATTTCGCAATATTATTACATCATACATTATCACAGTATTTAATAAATTATTAAATAAACGAAGGGAATGATAATTTGTAAATTTAAAAAAAGAATATTGGTAAAATTACTTATTGCGTAGTTGAAATCACACTCGACGAACTGATGATACGTCTCGTCACGAGGATCTTTGGAAGAACAATGACGCTTCGTGTCACATGATTTCTAAGCGACTTTCTAATTGGGATTTCAAATGGTCTTCTTTTTCCACTTATGATAAATCGAAACATGAATCTAATTTTTTCTGGAATTGACGAAATACGAAATATTTACATGGCTATAAGAAATATTCAATATTTTGATTTTTTTGTAGGTCATGCATATATGGATACGAACAAACTGTTTCGTGGAATTTAAAATTCTAAGAAATATTTTTGCAGTAAATGTTGTTTATATACATGTGTAAATATATTTATGTAAATAAAATCAAGTTATGTAGAGGAATGATTAATTATAATTTTTAAACGATATCAAGATTCTTTCCCTAAAAAATAAAACTTTTAATTAATAAATAGATAAATGAATAAATATATCAATAAATAAATAAAAGAATAAATAAATTAATACACAATATAATAATATAATAAACAAAATATATAAAAGATCAAATCATCAAATTCAATGGAAATATATTTTCTACTATTATAATTTTTTTTAATATAAAAAATTGAAAATTTATAACAATCTAGAATCAAATATATATTTTTATTAATATTAGTTTTTAGCTTATAAAAAATTATGTTAAAATAAATATTATTTATTAATTGGGATTTCAAAAAAATATTTGCATATACGCTTATAATTGATAATGTCCTACATTCTGAATTAATAAATAAATATTAATAAATTAATAAATTAAGAAATAAATCTGAATTCTATTATGATTAATAATAATAATTATAATAAATCAATTATGATTATTATTTTGTCATAGACGATTACATTATCATTTGATATATTAATATTTAATTACAATTCCGTCATTGTAATGAAATGATGTAATGAAATATGTAATGAAATGTTTCAAACATTTTTCCATCTCTTGTGGAAGAATAAATGTTAATAATATAAATAAATGAATTACAATTCCTTTCATTTCAATACTATTTTTATCTCTTTTTGGATCGATAATATCGTATATGATACAAAAATTATAATAGAGATTACGTAGGTTTTAGAATTTTAGAATTAAATGACATTAAAAATAACTGGATAATCTATTTTATATCTAATCTATAATAGATCTATTTTACATTTTGTCAATGGATCGAAAAATCTGTTTTACCATCGATCGATTAATTCCATACGAAAGAAGTTGAGCAGAAATTTTATCATAGATTATATATTCGCAAAGAACAGATGTTATATGCATTTTGCAATTTATTATCGCGTAATGTCGCGGAAGGATGAAACGGAAAGTTAAATGAGAAGCTTGGGAAGATAAAGCACATCTTGTTGGAATGATAGCGGAAACGAATGTTACAAATTATTCTATCCCAAATTCCAGGATAATTACATTTCTCGATTGAAAAATGGATATTTCTCTTAATTACGTAGTACAGTCTATAAACGAATTTTATTATTAAGCAAATTTTAACTTATGACAAATGATTCTACGCATCAAATAATTCAATTACAGTGAAATGTCTTTATCAAATGTTACATTTTAAACTTTTATATCGCTATTTATTACTCCATATTTTGATAAATCTATAATATTATCATTAAAATATATTCCATTTTTCTAAAATAAACTAATTGGATTGAATTTAACTTCAAATCGCACAATTATATTTATTCAAATCGTACTCCATTTTCAATTGCTTAAGTTAAAGTCGTAAAGTAAATTCAACACGGACGGCGAACTGACGAAAAACTGAGATCAAATGCGATCTACAGCAGAAGTTCAAGTTAAAGTGTTTGAATCACTGAATCCAATGGAAATGAATCCAAAATTCGGTTAGAATTACGATTGAAAAGGAGCGTCTAGTACGAATAAAAGGACGATCCCATTTCGCGCGACCAAGCAAAACCATCGCTTGAAAACCCGCCTCAAAAACAAGGCACGCCACTATGAGAATGAAATAGAGTTTCTCGATCAAAAAGAGAATCTTGCCTTCACCTCAATTTAAAATGGAGCAAAGGGTAGAGAACGTTGGATAAACAATGTGAATCGAGTCAGTGAACGAGAGAAAAAGTAGGGATCGGTGTCGATCTAGGGTCAGGTTAGACGATACGTCCGTTGCTAGCTGGAGAGAGCGCGTGTATCCTTTTTGATCGTGCGATCAGTGCTCCAAAGAGGATCTGGCAACAACGGCTGGAGGTGGAGTGATCTTGCAGGAGCATTGGCCACACGAGAACGAGAAGAAAGGAGTGAATCGTCGTTGGTTGAAAAGAGGCACAGGCTCACCTTTGCGCGAGAGGAGAAGGGCCGAAGAAGGCGGCGGGATCGAGCCAGGCCTGGTCCAGCGCTCGTAAAACTCGTCTCGCTCCGTAGAAATACCTCGCGTTATACGTCGAAACTTCCGGTCGAAACGGAACATACACGTTTTTCCTAGACTCTCCTTTTTCTTCTTTTTCTTCGATGCGCGATACTCGCGGGATCGCGTCCGCGTTGTAGAACAACGGACCTCGTCGTAGAAAAGAGGAAAACCGTGGAAAGACAAACGGAGGAAAAGTTTTCGACGAAACAATGTTTCGCCCCGTGGGAGTGTAAGATGCCGATCGGTTGAAAATGCAGTGTTTCGCGTGCGAGCACAATACTCGTCCACGTGTAGCAGGAAAACAACGCTTCAGCTCGTCGCGGTTCGCTTAGACTCTTTTCGAACGTTCGTTCGCCTCGATCGACGAAAAAAAGGTGATAGCAACTCGAACGCGCGATTCTACGTTTCTCAGGTGAGCCTTCTGCATGTTCGATAAGAACGACGATTAATTTTTTTTTTCTTTGTCAAATGTTTAAATTGTTTGAACGCAAACACGTTCGACGATAATATTATTCGATAACAAGCGTTCGTTATAATTCTCGTGCTATTTATATTCGTACACGCGTGTTTATTTATACGGTATCGAACGCGACGAGAATCGAACGAACAAAATTCAAAATAAACACCGTGCGAAGCGGCAGTCGATATCTGTGCGCAGTTCGAAAAGGAACGTTTACCAATTCGTTCCACGAAATTTGTTTAAAAATGTAATTACGCAACATTATATAATTATTTTAACTTTTTCCACGTACAATAATACATCAAAAACGTATAGAATCAACGATTGATCACGCGAATTACATCTATATTCAGTGCTTGCGGCATCGAAAGATCGATGATCATACCGAAGAGAGGTTAACTTTGTAGAAACTTCTTCATCATCGAGATTATTCGAGAAGATCTACCCGTTACAATGAACGTGACACTTAATCGTAACTAATTAATCGAATCGGTTCAACCGATAATCGCGAGTGCGTCGAATCGGAGGATTGCGATATCCGTTCGTTAATCAATTTTTCACGCTGCTCAATCGGGCTCTAAACAAAACCTTGGTCGGATGACATTTTAATCGAATCAGATTCGACGTCGGAATGCGGGATGACGCGAGCAAATCCAGGGGAAAGGGCAAATGACCGGGGAATCACGCGGCGCGATCGAGGCGCGTCACACGCTCGAAAACTACAAAACCCGAACTAATTAAAAGGGAATCAGCCAGCCGCCGTGACACAAAATCCTCCGTGTCGATCGACCAGCCGTGGCTGAATGACACGGACAAAGAGAGGGGGCGGAATAAAGAGAGAGACGGGACGAGGGTGACGCCGCGTCGCGACGCGGTGCAAATCAAATATTAATCGCGCAATTAGCGCCGATTGTACGTTAATCGGTTTTGTTTTATTTTTTTTTCTTTTCTTTTCTTTCTCTTTCCTTTGCTCTAGCCGCGATGAAGCTCGTTACCGCGGATGCTACTGGAAAATGTTTTTGAGACGATGACACACGCGGTCGCCTTATAATATTCACGTACTCCTCTCTCTCTTTCCCTCTTTTTGCCGTCAATCAACGAGATTTATTTCTGATCGAGATCCCCATTAATTTCGGATTACCGCAAATTGCACGGATCCCAGAGAGCGTCAACTTTCGCACGATAGGTGTACGAAAAAAATATAGTGGGTGATTCGTTCGATGTCTTAATTAGCTTGATTGTTTCGGGCCAACGAAGAAAGGTTAATGAATAAAAGTTGCGTGGTACTTAAAAGGGAGGTGGAACGCGAAGTAACGAAGGCTTTTTTAATAAGCTGTAGGTGAATGAAATATTTTGCGCTAATTATAAAAAAAGAAAAAGAAAAATATGGGGGAAAAGTTTATATTTTACGCGTAAAAGTTTGAGGACAATTTTTTAAAATTGATAGGTAATGGCTTAAAGTCTTGTATAAATATTGGAAAAGTGGAAACTTGGATTAAGAAACTTTACCTTATTTTATTTATTAGAAGATATTGAATTTTCTATACAAAAGTAAATATTAAATGTAACATAACACATCATGATATTGATATTGATATTATATTAATCATTAAATAGGTGATCTCTACAAAAATATATTAAAATATCGATTATGTGTTATAATATGTATTATAAAAAAATAATTTTAAAAATCCATCTCGTTCTCTTTTGCTAAGAAAGAAAATTATATTCAAGTTTATATTTAAAATTTATATTTAGATGTATTATTTATTTATATTACCTACTTAAAAATAAATTCTTTCTTCAAAAGAAAATACAACGAAACAAGAAGATGATAGATTCTTTAAATTATTTTCATATAATTTTATATTATTACACATAAATTCGTAATTTTAACATTAATATTAAATTAAAATTAGCAATTTTAATCATTATTATAGCAAATGATTGAGAAGTAAAATATTAAACCGCGACGCAATCATCAAGAACCTACCTCATTAATAACTGTTTATATTTCACAGTAGTTGATTTTCGATTCGACACATCATGGCGACCAGAGCCGTCGCTGTGGGGGCGGCATCAGGAGCAGCGGGGATATCTGGTGAGGCAGGTTTAGCCGGTGTACCTAGACTTCTGGAGGACTTGGCTCGACTTTCCGAAGACAAAGATACAGCTGACATTGTCTTTTTGCTAGGAAGGGATGAGACACCGGTTTACGCTCACAGAATTATCCTTCAAGCTAGGTCAGTATTCTATTCTCGTCGTTTCTTGATACGCTTCGATTAATCTCGTTCCTGCGCCTACGCATAATATCCCTGTTGATCAGGAAAACATGTGAAACTCGTGGAAATTCAAACAATGGGACAATTTACATTATCTTCGTTTCCTCCTCGATATTTTTCACCGTCTCCAGGGATGACACGAACAAGTTCGACTCATTCCTGTAAACGAAGCAAGCGAGATTGGAAATTTTATTACTGCTAGCACGATGCATCTTGGGACCAAATTAATTGTTAATCGTAATTTTTATTAAAACAGTTCCCGTCTCGTTGATCGATTCGCGGCTTTCGATTCCTCGGATTTCCTTGGAGACACGAAAGATACGCGCGAGAAATCGAGTTCGATACAAATACATTTATATATCTCATCAATATAAAGTATGGAAAATATACGATTTATATAGATTCGTGAAAAGATAATGGATCTCATGATCTTGTAAAAAAAAATAGAGAATTAACGTAGAAACATGACGCATTACGGTCAATTTTATCCTCGTACTTCGTTTATTTCGTTTATTTCGAAAATGTAAAGAAGCGGACTTACGTTCAAAAATATTTTCGTAATTCGCGAGACTTCTTGCGAGACGCGACGACTCCTCGATTCCTTTATTTGAGACACGAAATGGAACTTATTTCGCGGTAACTGCGTTACAAACTTTTCTTTCGTTCGTGAAACCGATTTAGTATAAGGAACTTGGCAAGAAAGATAAAAAAAAAAAGGGAAAAAAGAAAAAGAAGAAAGAGCAACTAAAAGTTAACTTTTCTGCGGAATTGCAAACGAATCTAACAGAAAGAAAATAATAACTTCGTTAAATTATTCGAGTCACCGAAGGAATCTATACATAATTCACCTACTATTCTTGCTTTGCACGCTTTACATAGTCCCTTCCTCTGTTTTTTTTCTGGAAAAAAAGGGAGAGAGGGAGTATTCGAGCCGGAAGAGCACTCGAATCGCGAAACAACGCTCGATCGAGCGAGGTTCTACGAAAATTCTTGGTCGAACGGTTGTTCCAGGGAGAAAAATCGCCAAGTCATCAAAGTTTCTTGATCGAAAAAAAGAACGGTGAAGTTCGCAGCAGCGATGAATTTTAATTAAGGGACTCTCCGATTGTTACGGCGAAATGAATCGATCGAACGTTCTAATTAGTTGGATAATAAGAGGAGAGAATGGTAGCATCTCCCCTTTCTCTCACTCTCTCTCGCGGCCGATTCATCTGTGATGAGTCTCCGAGGCCGTATTTTCACTCGACAGAATTCTAATTGCAATAAGGAGGGCTCGGTTTGATATTAGGTGAAGGGGCCTTAGCATCGAGGCAGCGACATTCCACTGGATAGGCTCGATGCTAATTGTAAAGTCAATTACGATATTCCTGTGAACCCTTTTGATATCAGGGCGTGGAAGGGAACGTCGAGTCCTTTTGTCATCAGTCCTCTTTCCTCCTCTTCCGTCTCTTTCGTTCTCGTTCCGCCAACACTGGCCTCGGAAAATTAAGTTACGCATGCTCGTGACAGGCGTCCGTAGGAGAAACGCATGGACAATACGCGACCGCACTCAAAACTCTACGCGGTGCTCTCCAGTCCGGTGAAAATCCTGACAAAGAGTCGTGATCCCCATACCTTTCCGCCCGTACCACTTCCCCCTCTTCCAGTTCTTGTCATTTCGAAATGCGACGCAGATGAGAACGATGCTTGACAACGGGAGAAAAGAAATTGAAAAATAAGCTCAAGCTTCGATGATGTTTGATGGTACTTTAAACTGGTAATCCCATCGTTTCTATTGATCCCCGCGTGAAACTGACCGCTATTAATATGTCAAGTGACGTGTATTAAAAAAAAAAAAGAAAACATTAGTTTATGTGTGAAAATCATAGAAAAGAAATTTGATAGTCGTATATTTTGATTTTTATAAGAGAGCGGTTTTAAAAGGATTAGCTTTATCAGAAATATTCTGCGGTATTCAAGTAGATATAATTCGATCGTAATTTTGAGTAATTAACTCTTATTCAACAGCGTTTAAGTTCTCTTAGATTCGAAAAATAAATACAATATCGAATGTAACGAAAAGAAATTATCTGCTTTCCGAGAAATTAAAGAAAATTGCAAAAAGAAGATTTCTAGAGAGAAATTACTACCAATGGATTACCGATGCAATCAACGAGACCTAAATTTTCAGCTCAAATTTGCCCGCGCAATTTTCCATCGCGCCATCCTCGAATTTCGAACAATGCCCATCAATGGAAGAAGATGGATTTTCAATTGAAAAAAAAAGAACGTTCGTTATCGAGCTGCTTTCGCCAGTAATTATGCATTGGACGACAATGCTACACAATTTGGATCTGTCGAGTCGAGGCATACGGTGTCTGATAATGGACCGAAGCGGTGAGACTCGTCAGTCGTTTCACAGGAAACGAGGAGGTGTGGCGCGAATTTGACTCTCGTGCACCGGAAGCGGAGGCGGTTTTTGCGCGGAGATCGACGGAGCCGCTATATAATCGCACGCTTGGTCGTTAGTAGCGGAGCCCGCGGCGACATTCAACCCCTTGCCGCCGTGAAACCAAGCAGCCACGACCCTCGTTTCCCACCACCAGGCCCCTTACCCCCTAACATCCTCTTTCCACGTCGAGCCTCGTGAACCTACGTTACCACCCCCGTGACACCTCGTCGTCACACCAGACGCGCGCACGCGGTGCCCTATTCTTTTCTCGCCGTCACTCGCTGATATTTGGTTTTCTTTGATTCCGCTGCGGCGTTCGCCTGTGATTAGGGAAAAGCTTCTCTCCTCACCGGGAACCGACTTCTCGTTTTTCACCCCTTTCCTACCCTTCACCCCTTCGTCTTCTTCTTCCACGCTTTCCTTCCTCCTTCGCCTCGTTCCGCGCATCATCCATCACTACCCAACATCCAACCGCAACCCGCCTTTATTTTTCCTTCTTAACACTTTTTTCATTTCTTTGGCAGTGGAGCGATTTCTTACCGATATTGCCATGCTTCTAGTCAGAATTGCTGGTCACGTTCCCTCGGATAGAGTAAAGAATCTTGACGAGGCACGATCGACATGCGAATTTTTCTTGCGGAATTTCATGGACGCGAGATTCAAAAATCGTTTATTCTAACGATAAATTATATCGCGCGTGCAACCGTGCTATTAAATATAGAAGAAAATGATAGGGAAAAAAAAAAAGGATATATTCTCGATATTCGAATATTTCCCTCTAATTTGCACAAAATAAATACACTATAACTTTAACGTGCTTTGATATGCACGCGAGCCCGCATCGCTCTCGAACTGGCAGGTGAAAGCATAAAGGTTGAGTTTTTTTTCGGTCCGTTAAAAGTCGACCCGCAGCAAGGGTTACACATCCGTGCGTGTATACATATACTTCCCGCTTCCTGTGCACGGGGCTCGTGTTTTTAATTTTTTTGAGCACTAGTTTTCCTCTGTCGAGCCTCTCCCCTCCACAGCAACCGTGTTTCGTAGGTAGGCCCTGCGATTTTCCAACTTTCGCGTTCTCCTGTCGACGAACCCGAGCGTTTGTTAACGCGTCGGTTATAATATCAAAGCGCCCGGCGAGCATGCCTTTTCCATTTGCACCCGCTCTCTTTGACGGATTTTCTTTTGATTCGATACGGACGCCGTTCGTACCACACGCTTTACCTCCCGCAACTCTTGTGCACCGCGACCTCTTCGTTTCTAGCACACGAAATCTTTTTACCTTGCCTCGGCTTAGTGGTATTAGAAACTCGGGGGGTCGTTCCAGTGTCTTCACTGGATCCAAAGGGCTCGTTTAAGAGTTTAGTCTGCCTTTCGTGTCTTAAATCTCGCTCTTCTACCGTTTGTGTTTCAATTTTCCAATTCAATTTTTCCTGGCTTTGCTTAATTACGATTCGAAATTGGAATTTCGTTTCATGTTGTAAAAGTGCTCTTTTCCTTTGAGATAAATTTGAATTCGATAATTTGAAAAAAAAATAATGTTATCGAAAAAATAGACGAGAGACAATGTTGTCGAAAGTAAATTAGTACTACTTGACGTAGGTGCACTAATTTTTATGCAGATATATAAAATATAAAAAATCAAGGATTTCGAAATAAAAAAAAAAAAAAAAAAAGAGAAATGCATCGTTCGTATTTAAACTTGTCGATATTAAAAACCTCCCTTTTGTGTATCTAGTCGCATTGTGCGTATTGAAGGAGAGGGTGCACGTTAGAAAAGCCGAGATCGAATGTTCTCCCAATGGGTCATAGGGAATCTCCGCTTTCAGCACGAAATACTAGGAAAGATTTGTTCTTCCGAGTTTCTCCCTTACGGGGGAGGGCTCGCCGCAGGGGAAAAAGAGGGTGAGAAGTGACTTTTCGAAGGTTGCCATTAATTTCTAGAGGAACGAAAACTAAAGCCTGGCTGCATACGTTGCGAATACTCTCGTGGCTACGGAGCTTCCTGACGAAGTCAATTAAGCCCTTTTGTAACACGAAACACTGCTAGAAGTAGTAGCGAAGGTGACGAAAGGTGAAGTGGTGGGTGTTCGTTAGAAGGGTCACGCACCCATAGTACACCCGCCCGATTCAAAGCAATGCTCTTCCTTCATTGTCTCCCTTTCTCCTCTAACCCATGGTAATTATTGTTTGAAATCGATACGCTGCTTCGATTTCCCTAGGTGCAAGAACTTTACAGCCGCGAAGAGGATCGGGACACCGGGAAATCCAACCCCAATGCGTATGCCGCACGCTCATCCAGAGACTTTTCGACAATTTATTCATTACGTGTACACAGGCAAGGTAAATAATATCTTGAACAGATGAATTTGCGACGATGTATGGAACATGGAGGAAAGTATTGATAAAAGTTTCATGTTTTTTCTAAACGTAGGCCAGATTTAACTCTGTAACTGTTTCGTAGATCATGCTACAGGATAATGGTATATTCGAAATGCTGGGTCTCGCACAAGAATTGGGAGTCGAAGAACTTTGGAGAAGTTGCGAGGAACACGTCTCCGCCACTCTAAGCCCAGGAAACGCGTGTGCCCTTCTGACTGCGGCGTTAGATGCCCAAGAACGAGTTCCTAGTAAGTTATTCATGATATATTGTTAAACGTTTCTTTGTATTAAACAATTTTTATTTTGGAAGTTGTTGAATGATGCGCCATAAAAAATAATATATTAATTATTAAAATATATATTATAAAATATATTAATGATATATATAATTGGTAGGTAAATGTATAGGTTTCTGTAAATCAAAAATGCAGAATATACAATTGAAATATGAATGAAATTTTTAATAATTGAAAATATGAAAAAATTAATTTTTTTATACAAGATATTTTATTTAAAAAAAAAGATATTTAAAATTTATGATATTTTACTCATTAGATAAGAATATTTTGTATAGAAAAGAATTGCAGTTTACCATACTTATCGACTGAGTTTCGTCGATAAGAATTCGTCATTTGTAATTCACATATTTGTCACCGAGGCAGCACTATATAGGATATTTATAAAATCAATAGTACCAACATTTTATTCTTATTAAACTTTACTAAAAATACTAAATGTTATAAATAATAAAATTTATAAATATTTTCTCTTTAATACTTGTAATATTTATTTGAATTAATTCTTGGTTGAAATAATTTTAGACATTTAAAATATTTTAAGAAGGAAAATAATAGGGAAAAATCCCGAATGAAACACAGTTGGTACAATTACGACGCCATATTTTTCGGCGTTTGGCTATTACAAAGCACGGGTGTATTAAACGTTGCTTGTTAATTTTTGAAATTATCACAAAAATGTCGTACAAAGGACCTCAAAAAGTTCAAAAAGTGATGGTACAACCCATCAATCTTATATTTCGATACTTGCAAAACCGTTCGCGCGTGCAAGTTTGGTTATTCGAGAACATCAACCTACGAATCGAGGGTCACATCGTTGGATTTGACGAATATATGAATTTAGTACTGGACGATGCGGAGGAATATCATTTGAAGACAAAGAACAGAAAACCACTCGGACGAATCATGTTAAAAGGCGACAATATAACGTTAATACAAAATACGAATCCAGGAGCGAATTAAGTTACTCATAACCTTGGAAGATGAACAAAAAAGCGCATTGTTTTATACTTTGTGCTATTGAGCATGTAAACTACATGTTAAAAGTGACTTAAAAACATTTAATAAGGACAAAGTTAATATCTTTCAAGTTCCCATATTTGTGATACATAATTCAATGTAATTAAAATGAACAATGGTAAATTGACATGTACAAATTATAATTTTTTTTTTATTGAGAAACGTATTTGTTATTATAATCTTATAATACTAATTTCCATGGAATTTGGAATATGTTTCAATCTTTTAATCTTCAATTATTTTTATTAAATGAAAAACTGTGTAATGTGTATTCCATATATTTAAAATTGTACCCAATTTAGTATTCAAACAAATTCCAGGTGTAAATATTGTGATTGAGCAATTGCTGTAATAGATAATGATCTAGATAGACATTTAATAAATATTTTTGAATCAAATTTAATGTTTTATTTATATTTGTAAAGTCCTGATGTAAATAAATATGTGAAATTAATAGATAATATTTTAAATATTATAAAAGTTAAGTATATTATTATTTAGGCCATTATATTCTAAAATTTAATATTGATTAATATTAAATATGTTATTAATAGAATATTTTTTATTATCACAGGTGGCAAAGGAGCTTGTTCTTCCTTCATTGAAAGATGTTTCGCTTTCATTGGAGAAAATGCTGTAGATACAGTTAAAACAACAGCATTTTGTAATCTTCCAAAGGATGCGTTGGTGAAGCTTATATCTTCGGATTACTTAGGATTGGAGGAAGAAGATGTTTGGAGAGCAGTACTAAACTGGGCAAAATATCAGGTTCTTTTTCTTTGAAAATTCTATTCCGTTTCCGAGTACTTTGAATCCGTTGAAAATTCCAAGAAGACTTAACGCTCTGATCATGCGTATGTCGTGCAAGGTCTTAGACCTTATGTCGCATACGATTATTACCGGGTCCTTGGGTCCTTAGGTTCTTGGATCGGAATTTAGAATTACGAGTTAAGGAACGCTTAACCGTACGGACCACGCTCCTAGGCAGGGGTGACGCAGCCTACTCAACACTGGACAGAGGAGGAGCGCGTGAGGGTTTGCCAACATTTATCCGGAGTGATAAATCATGTTCGCCTTCTACTAATCGACAGCCAGGTCTTTGCGGAGGAAGTAGAACCAACCGGAGCAGTGCCTATAGAGCTTTCCTTGGAGAGGTACGAATTTTTCAATCCCGATCGATCAAGTGGCTCAAAACCCATAAGGTATGGTTTGCCCGGAAGCTTTTTATTCTCGGAGGCTTTCGATTTTTACGTTTTGTCTTAGGTATAGGTATGCAGCGCTACCAAACAAATATGCAGAAATTTGTGCAGATAAGCGGTTACAGCCAAGAGTTAGTCCATTTCTGTTTCCGGGGTCACAAATTCTATCACGAGATAAGATGGGTTTCCAACGTCTTCTCAATCAGTGGTATGGATCTCCAAAACAAAGTTGGCGTCTAGTATATCGGTATGTTTAATAAGAATTAACAGGATGTTAATGTTAAGCATATTATAATAATAAATATGCCAATTATAAATATTTCAGAGCTTCTAATCATGATTATTCTGCATCATCATTTCACCGACATTGTGATGGAGTTTGTCCAACATATGTAATTGCATTGGTAAGAAACTTATGCTTTTTAGTATAAATAAAATAAAGTTTATTATATAATGTTTTATATAGGGAACTCGAGGAGAAATTTGTGGAGGCTTCAGTGATGCGCCATGGGGTAAAACAAATGCCAAGGGTCATTATATTTTTTCAGAAAAAGCTTTCTTATTCACTTTAACAAATAATCAAGATGTACCTCCAACGAAATATGATATTGTTAAAAAGCCTTTTGCGCTTTGTTATCATCCAGAGTAAATATTTACTATTTTATCTGCTTATATGAAAAAATTCTAATAACTAAGTCTATTAATATCTAATTAAATCTATTAATATTACAGTATCGGACCAATTTTTGGAGCAGGTGCTGATTTACTAATTTCTAGTAATTGTAACGTAAATAAGGAGAGCTACAGTAATCTTCCTCACAGCTACGATGGCGAACATGCCTCTAATACTGTACTTATGGGAGACTATCATTTTTTTGTAGTAGATTATGAAGTTTTTACTCCCAGTCATTCAGTTTCCAAATCTACTCATTAACAGTATATAAATATTCTTTTTATAAGCTTGTACATACATTATTGCATTTTTTAAAAAAAATAATAAGCTTCACATAATACCACGAGTATAATATAAAAATAGAAATTATTAAAAAAAAAAAAAAACGAAAATGTAAAAGTGTAAGTGTTTATAAAAAAAAAAAGAGTAATTTTGAGCAATATGTACAGGGTATGTAAGTTTACAGAAAATGTAATTTTTTATGCTATTCAAAATAAATAATACTGCTTTTTCTGATGTTAATAAGTAGTGAATAAGAAGTCGACCGATATTGGCTTGCAATTAAAGGCTTTGGCTCTCGATAGAATTAAAGTATGCCAAACGATACTTCGTGGTCTGCATAATGAGTATTTGATATGCTACGATGCATAGACCGATTCTCAAGGAACTTGTTAAACCACACGTTAAATTGCCATGTGAACAAATGACTTCGAAATCTAATCTGTATTACAGTAGCGCGTTCGAAAGTAAACGTGAAATGTGAAAATCCACGGAAAAATGCGAACTACTGAGTATGTATTAGACTATCAAAGGCACCGATGACACGGATGTATGTTCGATAAGTAAAATCGTACTGATTCTACTTAGCCATAGTTAAAATTTAAATTTCGTTTTAACACAAAGCTATGTGACAATTCAAATCACGTATCTCAATTAACAACGCAAAATAAGAAATTTTATTCATGACATTATTTGATACTTTCTCTTTAAATAATTAATTAGAATACTCATTTCCCTTCATTTTTTATAATGATACGATGATAAATTTGATCATTATTTCAACATTTTGGAATATTTGACAAAAAATATAATTGTTTTATGAAATTATATTTTATTCACATTTTTTATAATAATATGAATTATGAACATGTATTATTTAAAATGAAAAAGATATTTGAATTATTTAGATATGACGCGACAGTTTCAAAATCTGAACCGGATATTGTCAATTTACATTTTAATTTAACTATATTTATCGATAACGATGAATATATTTTTAGAAACTCGAAAAATTTACATTATAATAAAAAATATTATTTTACATAATCATTTTAATCAAGAAAATTATTCTAATTGCAAATTGAAATGTTTTTTTATTTATACATGATTAGTGTTGTATAGTGTCCATTTCGAATGTTTCATTTTTCATTTCCGTTCCATGTTCCGTCTTTTCCGGTGTTTAGACAAGTGGTGTGGCGCGAAACGTCAGTGCAACTTAGTGTGATTATTTGCCGGTTTATTTGTGAATATACGTCGATTTACAGGTGAGTTATGTAATAATGTAAGAATATTGACTTTACTGTAGCTAGTTCACGTAATATTTGCGGTTCTTACAAAGATATTGCGAAAATTATGGTCGGTTGGCGCGCATGCGATTTTTCTCCCGCGTACTATACAAGTGCCTATTCCATTCGATATGTAGAACAGATAAAATCACGAAAATATATATTCTACCGAATATAACTGCTATTTGAATACAAATTTTTAATGTTCTTTGCGAATACATGGTCTATTGCATATGTATATTCATTTTCGAACGACCAGAATTTATGTCAAGAAATATTGAATATTCATGTTGAAATGTTGCATGTTAGCACGGCCATGTTTTCTGTTATTTGAATATACTACACACATATCTTTGCATTTTCTCAACTTTATATAAATTCTCTTCCTGTTCGTTCATTCGTATATTTAACGTGAATCGTTATTATTTTAAGGTAGAATATTTTGAAAAATCGTTAAAATATAAAAATTTTTTTATATCTTAATTATATATTTTCATAAATTTTTTATCAAAAATAATAAATTTTTTATTCTTTAGGAATCATCTATAATTTATATAATCCACTGGAATCCATGTAATCATATAATATACAGATGTCATCAAAGATGTAATCTAATAATGTGAGTAAATTGAAAATAACATTCAACTAATTTCAAATTAATCATATATTTTTAACAATTTATAATTTTTTTGCTAATATGTAATTTGTAATTTTTTTGTACCAAAATTCTGTACAATAATTCATTCTAATTTTACATTTTAACTAATTGAAGTGGCAGTGATTGGTATTCCTAATAAATTGCTAATTCTATTAGTTAATGGTTATTGCGTTAAAAATTTTCACAAAATCGCTTTAAAAAGTATTTATCAATCAACAAAGTAAATTAAGTATAAACGTTGCTAATATTTTCTGATTAAAATTTTATACTGCAATCTCCACTGTGTCTTTTAAAAGTAATTTATATTTACAAATATAAGGGCCCTGGGATTTATAGACTTGTACTTTACTTGTGAAATATAGCATAGGTTTATAATCAATAGGCATTAGTTTAAAGCAGAGTTTTAGTATATGTTTAGAAATGCATGAAAAATATCATGTTGATATCATATGTATTTCATTGATAAATTCATGAATTCATTCTTAAGGAAAAATGATTTACATAATTGTTTAAATTCGTTAAATACATTGCTCAAATTAATTAGGGAATTACTTATTGATATATCTGGTAACCAATTTTGTAATTTATAACATATGCATAATGTTTTTTATTCCTAATATTTGATCACATTTTCTAATTATTTCGAGCATTGTAATTCATTAGTTTATTATCTATTAGCTATATACAAGTAAGTACTGGCCCTGGTCCCATTCACACAAATCTTGCCTAGCTATTATTTACATTTTCGTCCCCATCTTATTTGTTATACTTGGGTAAATGGAATTACAGCGTGTCCGTGTACGAACATAGATATTAATTAAATAAAATTCATTTACGATTGCACGTATTCGATATCGATAATATAATCAACAATTTCATTAAACAAAGTACTGGCCATTTATTGACTACTTTCATAACGAAAAGTATCGAGATACCATTACTTTTCGTTGCGCTGTAAAAATTTAATATCACGATTAATAGAAACGCGAAAAAAATACCTTCGTTCTCGCTTGATATTTACACATCATACCTTATATAAACGATTATAAGGTTGAAGACCGGTTGAAGACGATTAAATACATAGTATTCTTTATTGTCTCGAAATCGTCATATCTTGCTTGCATCCGGAAATTTCCCGGATCTCTCAAGGATCGATCAAACACGATCGAGCGATCCCGCGGAATTAAAAAGCATTTTTTTTAAGCGACTCGGATCGCACATGACTTAATATCTTAATAAAAGCAAATCTGTGTTCGAGGAATCTGGAGGATTGGCCAACGAAGATTGGAAAAGTATCGTCCACACAATTTCAACGAGAACAGGATCCTCGGAAAGGAAAAGAAGCGCGAGAAATTCTCTCCCTCTCCAAGCTACATTCATTGGATTCGTCATGGACATCCGGCGAACACATCCGGCTCTCCTGCGATTACGATCTTCGTATCATCATCGAAAATTCCTCAACCGCAAGGATGTAATAAATAGACGTGGGACAAAAGCAGAGAGAAGAAGTGGCAAAGCTGCAGCGACGGAGGCGTTTACATTGGCAGGCGTCGAACGCTTGTAAGATAAAGCGGTTGGCAACGTTCTACACGTGTACACCGGTTTGTAACGCACGTTCCGAACACGTGCACCCCGCAGTTTGACGTGTTTATCAACCGATGCACCACGGTTGCACCGTGGTCGCTCTCCCGCTTCTGCAAACGCGTCAGACGCCGGTTGTCTGGCCTCCCTTTATCTCTCTCCTCACCGCACCATCTCACCCTATCTCCGTCTCGTTCCGTCTTACGTGATTACCGCACGAGCGCGCGCGCTCGTTAATTAAAGCGGAGGACTCTCGTTAAAGTCGATTGGCTTTTGCGCAACAAGCCATCGATCGGCGACTCGCGATCCTCGCCGTGATTACCCGGAATTGAGACGTTAATCCTTCATTCTTCCAACTGGCACGGATATTTATGCCGGGAATTACGAGGCTGGCGCGAATTGCGTTTAACTATTCGGCGCGAATGATTTGTCTCCGCGAGCTCGATCAAAATCTATCCGGTAATTCTTGCTCTGAGAACGCAATTAAAAATAATGTACGATTCTGGGAATTTTGCTCGACTATTCGAACCCACTGAGTCTTCCTGATTGACATGATCCGGAAGGGGGGAGGGAGGAGAAAGGGGAATGTAATTGATTACGATATCACGAGTCCCTTTCTCACCAGTCGTATTTGGCAATCCGACATATCGATTAACTACTTTTCCTTACGCTCGAAATCCACTTATTCCGTTTGTTTTCTGAGCGGATAAACGATGTTTCGTAGAACGAGAGTGTCTTGCCTTCTCTAGGATCTCGTTGTTAGATCTATAGGCACCGACTTCCTTTTCAGAGGAGGGCTGTCCCGATCGCTCACGTTCTCCATGTCGATTTCGTCCTCTTCCGTTTCCTCGGTGACGGAAGTGGGGGCCGACTTTATGGACAGATCTATGGGATTATCCTGCGGAGGTGGACAATCCGTTTCCAATCCCGGGCTGCATATTGGTGAATCGTTTTCGGAATGTTCCTTCGTAGACGCCGCTGTAGAACCTTCCTGTGTTCTCTGACTTTTTAACACCGCATCCAAATAGAATCGTTTGGTGTAGGTTTCTCCGATCTCTTCATTCGAACTCTGCCTCGTTTGCACATTATTGTTATGCGCATATCTATCGTTATTATTATTATTGTTATTATTATTATTTCCACACGAGTCTTTGCTATCGATACTTATCGTCGTGGTAGTGGTGGTGGTTGCGGTACTGATCGTACTGCTCGTATCCTCGATCACGGGCGAGTGTCGAAGTAGATTGGAAGAATGGTTGGGTACCAAGGGATGGGAAGCCCCGTGGGACGTGGCGTATAAATGATAGGGTGAGAACATGGTGAGACTTGGCGGTGGTAGGAAGGCGGGTGGAATCAAGGACATCCCACCGAGGTGAAAACCGAGGGGTAAACTCATCATTTCTTTGCTGAGCGCCGAAAGATCGGCGACCGAGGGTTGCAACTGCGAATGTAGGGGTCTGAAGCCTGGATGCCCCGAGAAGGCTGCTCTTCTTTCGGATATTTCCACAGAACTGTCGCTGTTGTGCGATTCGGGGGAGCTAATGCTAGGGGAAGTGGAGTTCTTGTAGTCGTCCAGGCCTAGCATCAGCACGTCGTCCTTTCGTTGGCCTGGGTGGAGTCCGATAGGCGGGCTCATTGGTTTTCGTTGTGGCGTAAGTGGTTGGTTAGATAGGGTCTGTTGGTAGTGTTGTTGCTGCTGCTGTTGCTGCTGTTGCTGTTCCTGCAGCAGACAGTGAATTTTGAACCAGTTCGATCTACGTCCGTATCGCGAACCTGATTTCGACATGCCCACGAGCAGGCATTTCCTTAGACGACAGGCCTTGCAAGCTGTTCGATTCTTTTTATTGATGACGCACTCCCCGCCATTCTTACATTCGGAGATACTGCTCAGATTATTGTAGGATCTCCCGAAAAAGGACTGAAACACAGAAGGAATACGTTTCGTTATTAATGCGATGATAAATCAACGGTATGATAATTTTTTTTTGTTCCCGTTAATTACGTCGACATAAAGGAATCAAGCTTCAGCTGAGGATTACAAAGGGGAACAAAATCTAGAATGCTCTTTAAATGCAAATTCAGAGGTCAAAGATTGGTTGTGAGATCTATCGCTACTGCAACGTGCATTGTGCCGCTCATAATGAGTACGGCAAAGTTGTTAGACGGTTGTAATAGTGCGTTCTCGTTGTCTCATTCATGTTGTGCAGCGGGAAGCGAGTCGGTGTGGGCGCGTGCGGCCTACTGTGCTCGCGCTAATTGCCCAAATGGTGCAATTTCACGATTCCGACACTGTTGCCTTTCCGTGTCGGCCCCCTTTTCTTTCTTTTCTGATTCTCCAACGCGCTCGATACACTCGAAAAACACCTCTCCGTGTTCCAATCCATTACATTCCAATGTATTTCGAATGGAAAATATCTGAAAGACCTATGGTAAAGTATCTCTTACGAAACCCGCGCGATTTAAGACCTCGTTCCTAGATATCGAATCGAACGTATACATTTAAAAAGCGGGACTTGGTATACGCGCCCTGAAACACCTACGATTTCCTGCGTAACCCGATAAGAAATTTCGTCCTTCGAAGTTAATGATCAGTCTTTAAAGAGACACAGGCAACGTGCGTACGCGATGTGCACTTTCGCTTTTTCTGCCCGCACGCACGCTATATTATTAATCGTTTCTGGTTCGTTTGTCCTGAAAACGAGCTCTTCCTGCGGCCCAGTGGTCCCGATGCGCGCTTCGCCGAGACCCACGGCCCCTGTTCCACTTGCCTTTATTTATCGGATACTTTAGAATTATAGGATTAGGATATATGAATTTTATCGCGGTATATAAATTAATAGCGAATTCAATGATAGATTCGAAGGATGATATGATAATAAGTGTTTGAAATATATAATCATTTTTCAACTTCGCGTTGGCTTTGATTTTTTGAACAAAACGTTTCTTTTAATACGTTTTTTAAACTCTGGGATTAAATTACATTTTCTCAAAGCAAATATATCTGTGTATTTTAGGTGAACGCGTTTTCTTTGACATTCGGTCACTCCACGTCCCGGATTGTCATCGGTGTGGTCTAAGGTCCTCCGGTTAATTCTAAGGTTCATCCGTGGCAAGGAAACAAGGGGACCCAATCCACGGGAGAATATACGCGACGTTTCAGAAGAGAGATGACACAATCGAGAAAATGCTACCGTTATTACGCCCCCCTCTCGCGCCTCGCGTTATGCAAACGGACACCACATCAAAGTTGCCGCAAAGCGTCTTTTCATCGTCAAAACCTTGCACAGTTGTTGGATCGTGCTACCTACGGTTTCCTTTCGAAAACCGCCCGATAAATAGACCGGCTAATTACGCCACACGGCTGAACTTTCGTGGCCTAACGAAACGTAGATATCTCTGACTCACGCTCCGGAAAAAAAGAAGAGAAGAAGAAGAAGAAGAAAAAAAGGTAGAGGAACGAGGCAGAGGTTGATATTCGTTCTCAATAGTTTCGACGATAATGAACCATTGTGCCGGTTTTCACCTGTTTTCTGTTCCCTTTTTTCCCTCTTTTTCTTTCCCATTAGCGCGACCCGATATAACCGCGAATCGGCTCGTTAGTCGACTATATCGATCGATCTCATTGTGGAACGTCAAGGACCGTGGCAAGTCGCGCGCGCTCTTCGAGTTTTCACCGTGGACGAGATATATCTCGATCGTGAGACAGATCTATGCCACGGGTAGACATTGTTTCAGGTTTGAGCACGTGCACGCGCGTTTCGTCAATTCGTTCGGATCACGGAGCGGGTTCGAGGCGGTGCTTCCGGCGCTTCGCACTTGTCTGCCACAATTGTTTCCGCCCTAGTTCACGATTACGTCATCTCGACATTGTTTCGTTTCGTTATTTTCGTTTTCAGGCCCATCGTAGCATGTCAGCCCTCCCCTCTACGCGCCTCCACTATTCTCCTGCCAACGTTTGCTTTTACGCTCGACTCGCGGCGGTTATTCATTTTTCTCTCAAGGATATTCGACATATCCGTTTTTCGATTTTTGGATTTTTTCGTTTGTTTAACAGGGAATGAAGTAGGCTTCGATGAGGGTTGCTTGATCAATTGAACTGATTGAATTGATTGAAAGTCACTTTAGGTTGAAATTACAAATATTTAAATAATTTTATGAAAACGACGTATACACTTTATTTTTCAAATCATTTTTTTAAATGATTAAATTCATAAACATCCTATTTGAAAATATATTGTGAAATTCGCATGCTTTCTTGTCACTATTGCAATACACAATAATTCTAATGTAACAATTGAAAAATATCAACGTGTAATACAAAATGATTCATTCGAATTTTATTATAGCTATTCTAAGAAATATTCGTGAATGTCCAAGTTACCGTGTAGATCATTTTAAACAGGAGAAATCAGTTCGATCGCTCTTCCTCCCTTTGAGCGTTAGAAATTCGGCTCTCCTTTTACACAGGCGACCGTTCATCGGTTCGCCAAACATGGTCGCTGTTACTTTCGGGGGGCCCCCGTTGACACGCATGCCTAGTCAAACGTTTAACCTCGGCCACGAGGCGGCTCGTGAAAGCGATCACCGTTTCTCAGCTTTGCGAAACTGCGGAAAAGATCGCCGTGAACAGAACGTGCAGAAAAAGAAGGAGGGGGAGAAAGAAAGAGAGAGAAAGAGATAGAGAAAAAATATCAGTTGGAAAATTTTTAACGTTCCATTCGTTCTTCTTTCACGATCTCTCTTACGCAGAATCCATCCATCGAGGAGAAACTCATCGAAACTAAAACTTGGACCGAATTACCGATGTTTGACCTTTCAATTATCCCGGTGTCGACACGAAATATCACTCCAACCGTTCCAACTTCGATCGCTATCTCGACCGTTCAAATTTCCAAGAAACCCGTATCGTATCGTCGAATGATCCATAGAAGACTCACCTTGCAGCCCTCGCAGGTGAACGCGCCAAAGTGGAAGCCTGCCGCGGGTTCGCCGCACACCTTGCACTGTTGATTCATCTGCAACACAAAAGATAATATTCTTTCCTGAATTCGTCCCGTTAAATTCGAATAAAAAAAAAAAAAAATTCGAAATCGAAGTGGAAATGAAATTCGCAATTCTTCGGATTACTGGCTTCCGTTACGGTAAATGACGAAACCGACGGGGAAAACAAAATCGATGTCCCCGCTCGCGTAACTCGCTCGTGTACATATTTCAAACGTTCGACAAAATCATAATGCGAGTCTTATCGTGCGCCCACAACCGATCGCGCGATTGGGAAAGAGAAGAAGCTCGTTGCGTAATTCGCCGGTTTTAGCGCGAATCGCTGGATCGTGGCAAAGCGGTGCGTGTTACGTTCAACGAGCGGAAAACCCTCGTGCACTTGCTTTTTTCCCCCCTCCTCCCCTCTCCTCTCTGTCGTTCTTTATTATCATTTGCGATCCCCTCTCCCTCCCTCCCTCCCTCCCTCCCTCTCTCTCTCTCTCTCTCTCTCTCTCTCTCTCTCTCTCTCTCTCATCTAGCCAATTCCTTTCGCCTTCTTTGGCCGCTCGTCCAGAAAACAGAATGAGGCCCCGCCGCGGTCTCGTTTTCACACCTCGTCGCTTTTATTCCCCTCTATCCCTCTATCTTTTTCTAGCTCGTAAATCGTCAAGGCATTTGCATAACACTTTAGGCGACGCTTTATTTTTTTAATGATTTTCGTGTCGAGTTTTCGTCAAGTCGAAAACGCTCTTCTTCTTCTTCTTTTTTTTTNCTTTCTCTATCTCCTCTTCTTTTCGTTTCTTTTTTTTTTTTTTTTTTTTAAGAGCGTGTGTGCATAGAGTGAATTACGAAGAGAGGGAGTCGAAGAGGGAATATAGGACAATAGTAGTGACCCACATACGTAGCCCGAAGGTTCTTCGCGGCATGTCTCCTGCGGCGACTTTCATACATGACAGACTGTCGCTAAATGGGAAAGTAAATCTCAGCTAATGGAAGAGACATCGATTGTTTGATCAACGGAGTCTCTCTTTCCTGACCTACACCCCACAGTCGTTGACACTTCTCATTCGCGGACGCTCGACGCCTCGACGTGCCTACGCATACTTTTAATTCCGCGTTCGATTCTTTTCTCAGTTCAGCCTAAGAGCCTGAGATCCCTCTCCTCGTCCTTTCCTTTCCGGAGGAAGCCACGAAGAGACTTTCAAAGCGCTCGTTCCACCTTTGTCACGAAATTTATATTTATCGGATGAACCACCGGCCGATGAACAAATGATGGACGCAAATCGTTTCCAACTTGGATTCCCGTTTTCTACTTGGATCTTTTCGCTTGGATTCGTGGTAACGGTATTGCTACAGAACATTTTCGAATCGCGAGGAAAAACTGGCCTGTCCACGTGAGGCAATCGTCGCGGTTTGCCTGCTGGACCTCGACGATTGCACTCGACTGTTGCACCCGCGGGATCGATCAACCACTGTGAAACGGAGAAAGATGTGATAAGTTATTCGAGTTGTTTGGGTGGAGAACCTGGGGCGGAACATCTTTCGAATCGAAAAAGATTTTTTGAAACTCAAAATTAAATAACAGGAAGACGAACCATTGATTCCTTACGCGAAAAAAGAAAAAGAAAAAGAGAAATGATAAATATTTATAAATGAGGATAGAACGAAGACAATTAAAATATCAAAATATCAACTCACGAATGGCGTTCTCGTTATATTTTATCATAAATTTAATTAATAAGAGAGATGGAGATTCTTTTCGACTTTTGGTTATTCTTGTTCGAACAAATAAAATTTTGGAGTAATGGATGATCGGTTAATCGAGTTTAAACGATAAAATAATATCGGTAAATGCAGCCCTCCAGGCTCGGTTGATATTTTAAAAAGGGTATCTCTCTTCCATCTTATTGGGCTCGGCAGAATGATTGTTTTGGTGGCATTAATTAATAAATGATTGTCTCGATTCTCGAGTCGAGTAACACTTGACGATGCGCCCGAGCTCTCGCAACCTGCACTGATTGCAGGTGTGCATCCGGTGAGCTATTCAGAGGGTGCCTGCATACTCGAACGTTTCACGTTTCGATGCGAGGTTGCAACGTTTAAGCCATATTGTTACCAAGTTGTGTCGCAACGGATACGGCCTGCGCGGTGATACGGCCGTATTCTTGCGAGTTTAACAGAATAATACACGGCTCGAAAAGAAATGATAGATGATTTAATGTTCCAACAAATGACTTTTAATTATGACCTATCCGCTGCTACAATAAAATTGTTGATTAATTAAACCCGGCGATTCTATTGCTATTCGCGCCGATAGATCCTGTTCAGAAATTACTTAACGAAATTGCTTGTATACCCTTGTGTATCTGACGAATGCTCGAACGATAATTATTTCAAATAAGATTCGCTGGAAGATTGATAATACGAAGAAAAGCGAATCCTCCATTAATCGAGGAGGAGAGGAGGAGGAGGAGGAGGAGGAGGAGGAAAGCGAATTGCAAAGAGAGAGAAAGTTCTGAAACCTCTTCTTCAAACTTATCACGGTGTCACGTGTACGAACAAGTTCATCGGCAAGGAATTCGATCACGATCGTATCCCGAACGTTTTCGTTTTCGTATCCCTCGCGAAGAAAAGAGTATTGGAAACGCGCTCGTCGCCAAGATCATCGGGGAGGGAGGAGGGAGGGGGGAGGGATCGTCACGAGATCGGTTGGGGCGAGCGATTGTTGCTTGCGCTGGAAGCCGATCGAAGCCGTGAGAATCGTAACGAATGCTGGCGCGGCTCGTAACTTTCAGCGCGATCGGCTCTCCCGCCAACAAGTGGCGGGCGATCATCGCTCGATTTCCACGGAAAGACACACAGTCTCGAAGAACGAGAAGGAGTGCAGCCGTGTTGGCACGCCGTTCAAATCGATTCAAAGGGATCAATCCAAGTTCCTAGCGCTGCCTCGCTCTCGGTGATTGTCCTCCTTTCTAGAGCTGACCTTCTCGATAAAAACCACCTACCACGCTCTGCTCTTCCGCTTTACGCGCTTACTCTTATGCCGCGGACGTACACGCGTACACGTACACAATGGAGCGAGGATTTTGCTAAAAGCGACCAGTCACCATCTACGCCGCCTCGCGCATTAATTAAACGACGACACCGTAACCGTCCAATCGGTCTTGTGGTTTCTTAGGAATCGGTGGATTTTTTCTTCATTTACATGCGCGTGAAAGTCGTCGCACGGTTGTTTTAGCGGAACTATTTTAAATGACCGACGCCTCGTTACTTTCGTCGCGGCACGTCGTCTAAGCAACACGGACGTAGAATTTTCCTTTTTCCCACGACGCATGCCTCGGCAAATGAGTTTAGTTCCGTTTTCGAGACCACGATTCTGCACTATATTACGCTTTTACGACCGAATGACCCAACAACCACCCCTCTATACGATCCCAACACTACGGATCTTCGGTGTTTCCCTTAAACTTGCGTCCCTTATGTTCATTTTTAAGCCTCACCTTCGAGCTTGTAAAAAAAAAAAAAAAAAAAAAAAAAAAAAAGAGGAGAGAAAAGGTTTCTGGAAACCGTTATTTAAGTTTTTATTGGCGAAAAACGGCTCGTCCTCTATTTCCTTAAAGCACTAAAGCTAGCTGGAGTTTGCCGAACGGATCGGTGAGGGTAGGTCAGGTCACTTTTTTACTGCTTTTGCCGCTGCAATTATCGGAGGACTATTAATAAAATAAAAAGTAATAAAATAAAAAGCGATGGTCATTGTCGCCCACGTTTTTTTTCTCCTCGAGTACTTGCACTCGCTTCTTTTCAAAACTATATACCGATGATATATTCTCCTATAACGAGACGTTAAATTTCATCCGAGATTGAAAGGAAAATCGAGGGAAAAATATTCGTCTCGAATACGATGTTTTCGATTCGTTTAATTTTGGAAAAGCGGAAGGAAAGTATTTGGATGAGACCGCCATATTATTTCGTCTTCTCATCTTCGAAAAGCGGCGCGATCCAGTTTGCAGAGAGCGACTTCCGGTCTTTCGAAATGAAACGGCGTTCCGCAACGCGTGCTCCGGCGATCGGCCTTCGCGCGATCCAACATGGACCGTTTGTTTCCGATGCTATTATTCCATCGCTCTTCGATACTCGGTTTGTACAGATTTCTATCAAACTATCGCGCAATGCACCGTGCATCGCTCTATTGTATCGCTGTCAAATATGAAGGTGGCAGAAACGCGACGCAACGCACGTAACACAGTTCCCCGTGTACGTATCAGCTGCTCTGAATCTCTGAATCGCGATTTCGTTCTGCCGTAATGCGAAGCTCGTTATGAAATATTTCCAAATGACACATGTCACAATTTCGTTTCACTCTAATTTCAACTTTAACGATGCACAACAAGAGGGATATTCGATCGTTAAAATGTAAAGCGATATAATCTTCTTGCGTGAGTGTCTAATGAATCCAATAATTAGCCTAATCACAATGCCTGAAGGCGTTCAACGTGGAATCGGCCTTATCATGTCACTGGATATCCTTGTATTGACTAACTATGGAGGAATGTAAAAAGTAATTGCAAAAATATGTGAAACTAATATATTATATTTTGGATACGATATTTTGTCGAGAAAATTGATAAAACGAACGATGTGGAAAATGCAGAAGAACTCGATGCATCCATTTTTATTTTGATTTTCACGTGATCTAATAATTAAAGGAAATGCTTTGATATGTTATAAAATTAATGAGAAAAAGTTTCAAGATACAACAAATTTTTAAATGTCCAGAGAAATAACTCGAAACAAGCGAAACTTCGAATTTGTTTTCATACAAGTATTAGAAGAAAATGCAGCTTATCAAAATTCTTTTCTTTAAACAGGTAACTGCGATCGTTAAAGTATCGTTCCTTAAAAGCTGTAATAATTTATATCGATTTGCCAGGAATGAGTTTTTCAATGGATACCGCATTCCTCCATAGTTGCACTGCGTGGAACGGGTTAGGTATCGTCGAAATCGTGCGATTTTTTTCTCGTGTCGCGACCAAAGACAAAGAAAATGAACCGACAAGCACGCGCTCGAATTACGAAACGCACCTCCGTCCTTCGGTTCTTCTGCTCGACTCGTAGGCGTACCGATTCGTTTCTAAACGTGACGGACGATGATTCCGCGAAACAACGTGGTGGAAGAAGATACCAGAGACGATACGATCCTATGTTGTTAATTATTGTTCAGCGACAACGTTGATGCCATTCAAATTAAACCGCGATGAAGAAACTCGTAATTGCCAGTTGTCAGATTCGGGAATCGTTTGTTTTAACCGATCTCCTTTCGCGGGTAGACATGACATGATCACATACCTTGAACGAGATTAACACTGCGCGAGATTCATCGACGACAAAACGGACGATCCTCAAATAAGATACAGCATTCGACACTTTGTCATCACAATATATTAGGAACAGTTACGAACAGAATCACCAACGATCACTGATCGAACGGAGTCACTTGAAGCGTCGGACGAAGCACACAAGTTCCATACAAATTTTCCAAAGAGTTCACTCCGTGTCTGGTGAACAGCACCAACAAAAACAAGTGAAAAAAAAAAAAAAAACAAATGTCACCGTACAACAATTTTTCAATCTTGATCACACAAATTCAAATAAATCATAATTGAGAACAATTGTTCACGTTAACTAGTCCACGAGTACTCTGTTGCTCTTCAAAAACGTCACTCGGATCCTTTATAAAAGAATAATTCTCGGAAAAGTCCGAGTCCACTATTCCCGATGTATCGTACAAACGATGTGTCCGTTTCCCCGATTCACTATTGTAGGACCATCGTCGAAGTATCCATTGGGTCCAACCGGATAACGGAAGAGGTGGCAAGAAGAGAAGAAGAAGAAGAAAAAGAAGAAGAAGAAGAAGAAGAAGAAGAAGAAGAAGATTCTTGACGCGGCGATGACCGTTAGGTGAATGACTTTGGAAGGCGAGGGTGTCCACGTCGATTCTTGAATCAGCCCCCACCTCCAATTATTTTCTGCGGTCCCACTTCGTTCGCTCGATCGGTCGGCCGCTCCGTTCGCTCGCTGGCTAGGCTCGTGCGCTCTCGTAAGTATACATCGAATGGGCCTTATGGGCACACTGTGCGTCGGATCAGCGGAGAAGCGTGCAGGGTCCATCCGCGGCACAGGTGGGCCGCGGGTCCTCTCGTACCTTTGGTGGGGGGTCCTGCTGGACGATCGGAGGGATCCACTCGGTCCACGGGGAGGGGGTACAAGGGAGGGGCTTCACCGCTCTATCCCTCTCCTCGCCTCTCTTTCTCCTCCTTTGCACGGACCTCCTACCCTCTCGAAGAGCCGCTGGACCTGCGACGTATACACGGCTTTGCACACCGGAGCTGACGGTATTGATAACGATCCTCGCGGTTCCCAACACCTTTTCCTTCCCTTAAATCAAACCTTTTCGGTCGAAGTGAAGTAATCTCAACTCTTCGGTTTCGTTCGATTCGATCGGGATGTTATTTTGTCGATGAATTGAATTTTTTGTGAACCACTCTGGATATCTAATTCCTGTCTAATCGTCGTAGTTTTTAACACAATTTTCTTTTAAGATTCTTATCTTAAAACCTTGGTATAAACGGGTATAATAAGGTAGAGTAAAATTTCTTTTGTCCGAAAGTATTTTTATTTGAAGTTTGTTTGAATAACTTTTTGTCAACGAGTCGAGCTTTTATCGTTTGTATGATTTGCTTTTGATTGAACGTATAATTGCAGGCCGCTTGTATGATAATAGGGGTTATAAATGTTAATGACGTTATTACTGAATATTTATTACTATTATTATTTTTATTATTTTATTTTTAATATTAATTTCATTCGATTTTTCTTTCGTTTCTTTTTTTTTTAAACATCGAGGAAGATTTTAATAATCGATTATGCAAGAATCGTGTCGAGGTTGAATCAAAATCACGTTCAATGTTTTTTTTTTTTATTCCTTGGCAAACCATTTTTATTTATTTTGGAGGCAAAAAAAAAAAAAAAGAAAGAAAGAGACAACGTGGAAAGAAATACAAGGTATAGCGGAAACGCTGTCATAAACTATCTTCGAATATAACATTTTAGAGGAGGGGAAAAGAAACGAGCTTAATTGCGGATTAACCTTGCATCTTTATATTGCCCATACTAAAGTTCCTTTCTTTTTTTTGTCTTTCTTCTTCTTCTTCTTCTTCTTCTCCTTCCTTTTTTAACACGCTCGAGATACGGAGGGATACCGATTCGCAATTACTCATAGCGTTGCTCGTCGCTAAAATTAGTTTAAAAGAAATACCCTGTACTTGTGCCGAGTAACACGATTCTCTTTGCACGTGTCCTTGAAGATACAACCACGGCTGCTCGTAGATCATAGAGATCTTAATGATCGATAACACCTTTGGGGTTTCTGTGTTAGTGATATATGAAAGATGCTTTGGTATCCGCGCATTCCTCGTCGCCTTTCATTTCTTCCATTTTAATTTCACGAAATGCCGCTCGATTGCGTAACAATCCCGTGACAAAAGAAAACGCGTTTCGAAAATTAGTTAGTTTTCACCGGAATTCTCGTAGGTCAGTGTCGTGATTATTTTTGTGGTGATTACCTTCTACGATGCACATCCTAGGTGAGAAACGTAATTAACTACGTCTTATCAAGATGATAATTAGAACGATCCCCCGAGGCGTTTTTCTACGATATTAATATATTTCGTATCACTTCTCACGTTACAATCGTTTTTATTCCCCCCTTCCTTTTTTTTTTCCTCTTGAAAATTGAAAAAATATTTGTAAGCATCGTAAAATTTAATATTAATATCGGAGTATTTAACTATCTGGTACATAAGACACTCGTAAAATCACTTTTTCTGTAAATAAAGTTTAACTAGAAGTAAGTCGGAGTAGGCAATATTTTGTGAAAGAGATAAAGATTAAAGGAAATTTTAATATTTGTTCTTTTATGATTAATACTTATATTTAAACGAAATTAAAAGAAATTCGTCACGAATCTTTAGTTTTAATTCTTTATGAATATCAAATATGATATACGTTGACGAAAAATTTTAAATTGTAAATAAATAATCTTCGAAATTTCTTGTAAATATTTTTATATTTTAATTGCATTTTTTTTTAACATTTATAAGCGCAAAATATTGCAAACTGAAATGAAGCAAAAACTTTATTTGTTTCACTCTGACTATATTTATGACTAATTGTAAGAATAATATATCTGCAGGAGATATATTCGTATTACTTTCTTTTTCTAAATATTTGCTTGGAAATTCAAATCGTTCTAGTTCCTACATTTATGTAGAAAATCGTGATATCTTTCCAGTATTTGTTAAACGATCATCGTTATTGTAAATGTGGATCTTTGCAAAAAAATCTATTATTATATTTTGTGGGGAAGGATAAATTAAAGAAAAATGGTAATAGTCACAATCGATTCTTAAATCTTTTACGAATTTAATTAAGTTTAACTTAATTAAAAAGAACGCACAACATTCAGCTTTAGATGCACGTTATATTTTTCGCCTCTTACTTTTTCACAGGATAAAATTATTCCTCTAATCTTTACGAATGATCTATAATCGTTAAAATATCGGCGACTTGATGCAACAATAAATTAAATTATTATTTATTTCGGGTTATCCTTTATCAAAATAAAATTTTTTAGGATCTTCTACGAAGAAAGAAAAATATATTTTGGTTGAATCTGAACAACGAAGTTTTTTAAAACGCAACTATAATAAGAGGATGAGATTGTAATCCTACGAAAAAAATTAAAGCTTAGTTACAGTTTATATTTCCTTCTGGAGAACATCTACTTCCGGTAGAAGGGGTGTACATCGAGATGAGAATTAAGCGGACGCGGTTCATGGCGTCTCTCTCGTGTCTAGAAACGCAACAAGTTTCTACCTCGTCGACTTTGACGCGACCATAATTACGTTGCAGCGATGAAAAGCAATCACGCAGTTTCTGACCTTTCCTCGACTTTGTTGCGAGAGATCGAAACGCGGAGGGATTATCTTTTCTTGCTGGCAGGGCAATTGCGAGGACGCCGAGGCGGCACGCAATGCTAATCGCGAATGCAACGTTTGTACCACAGATGGCGCCACGTGCACCAACTCTGAGAAAACCGCATTCCCGGCCCCCATTCAAACGAGCTAATTAACGCTTTTTCCATGATCCGTTGGACAATCGTGTTTCTTCTCATGGTGATGATGGAATTCTCGATAGTCGTAGCAAAAACCAGAGACGTCTGGTGACAATCAATTAGGGAAACGAGTCGCAAGAATGCGTATCGATTATTTTTTTGCCATAATTCGATAATCTTTTTTTTCCCGCCTCTTCTAATTACCTAATCGACCATTATCGCGATTCGATGATATATTCTCAAAATATAGGAGTTTATTCACGCGTTTGATCGCTTGTTTTACACGTGTCAAGCTGCTCGAGCGCGAAGAATGCGCGCGTGTAATAAATTATTATAATCAGTCGATCGTGATAAGGATTATTATACATGCTAATTGGCGTTTTTCTACTCGTTTAACAAAAAATAATATCCGGCTCGTTGGTCTAGGGGTATGATTTTCGCTTCGGGTGCGAGAGGTCCCGGGTTCAAATCCCGGACGAGCCCGTGGAATTTCTTTACTTTTACTTTTTACCAACAACCGTGTACAACACTTTCATACGGTGCTGTGTTTCGAGAACACAGTCGTGCGTAAGTGAGGTTATGTTTCCAAAATGTCGCTCCTTTGATTTAATAAATTGGTAGTTTCTTTTTTTGGTAGTTTCTTTTTTTTTTTTTTTTTAATGGTCGTTGGAATATAATACAATATATTTCTTTCATTGATGTTTGATAATTATAATTGGACAACTGAATTTTTATTCATTTCTTTTTTTAAAACTTGCTATTGCTAAAATTATATGATTTGGAATTTGCATATTTGTATATTTATCGATATTTTATAAATTTTATTTCATCTGTTTATCAATGTTCTAATGTATCTTGTTAGCATATCATTATCATTTTTTATAATTATTTATTCTTAATTTTTAAATCGAAGCTAGATATTTTAATCAATTTACAATTACTTTTATAAAGGAAGGATTAATGGTAGAATTACTGATCTAAGTAAATATATCTAAATTATTATGTCTAGATAGTAGATAATTATGATTAATGTGATATAATGAAAATAATTAGATATACACATATATAATTTAATATTAATTATGTAAGAATATTTGTGCAGATTTTTAGAAATTGCAAATATAAAAAATTTAAAACTCGTCATTTTAGATAGTGGTAGTTCTAAAGTTAATTGTCGTGATTTGGTAATCGATCTCAAAGAAACTCAAGTGTAATCTTCTATTCGTGTAACTGTTGCCGTAGATTACTTAACATTAAGATATTATCTCGTTTTTGATGAAAAAAAAAAAAAAAATATGTGCAATGTCTCAGTATATGTTATGAGTTTCGTAT